AATCTTTCGTCTTGTTATTGTGTTGACTAAATAATATATGATGTTTGTAACTGAAATTGGAAAGGATTTCGTACTGGTTTATTGACTTTTTATAATCACATTTAAACTGTCGATTCTTTTTTTGCTTTTAGTCTTCTCCCCTCAACTCCGAGCAGTGTACTCTTAATTTTTAAGCTATTCCACTTCTGCATGGTCTGCCGGATGGTGGCGACATAAAAGAGTTGTCTAAGTTGATGCAGCTTATTGCACATCGATGATATGATCATCTAAAATCAAATGTGTTAGTTTTTTTTTAATGCGTCATAATCAAATTTAAATAAAATCTACAAACAACCAATTGGAGGGTGACCTCTTGGTAAAATTAGGCCAAAACTTATTCTGGAGGGGGAGAGGGGTGTAATGCCTGAACCACAGCACATCGAGCCGCCCCTCCCCCTCCCCCACCCCCGCCCCCCAATCAGTTGGTTGAAATGTTCATGTACCAGAGCATCTGTGAAATTTTTCGAATCCCCTACAGTTGCAGCCGAGACTTACGGATGTTGCTCTTGGAGCTATAATTACAGTCACTGGAGAGGTTTTGTGTTTTACCTTTTGAACCTTGGTGCCCCGGTTAGTGACATAGATTCTGCACTCATTGCAGATCATAGCTGGCTGGTTTTAACTTCCGGATTCAGTCAAGATGAAGCAAATCCGATGCTGTGTTTGACAGGTGTGCCCTGACTCTGTGACTATCCCGACTTCCCGACCTGATATAGCAGACTTGAACAGTTTAATAAATGTGTCCTGCTTTTGGAGAAATCAGCGGTCTCTGCTGTGCTCTTTTGCTTGTCTCTTTGACTTCCTCTCCATCATCATAACATTTCTCACCCTGGATCAGGGCTCAGGCCTCCGACAATTGCACTTTCCATTTTTCCTTATCCTCTAGGTTCACTTTTTGACATTATTCCATGTCTTTCCACTTTTCTGTATATCATTCCATGTGACTCTTCTCCAGTTTTCACATGGCCTTCTTTGGACTCCTTTATACAGGGAATATGTATGTCAATTGTATTTAAATCAACAACAAATGAGTAATCTGAAAACAAATTTGAAATTTTCCCCAGGCGCTGGTGAAGTTCCTCCCTGAGTCCAGCTGCAGCGAGCTGTGTGTCGAGAACTGTGGCCTGACCAGTGGAGCCTGTGACAGTCTGGCCGAGCTCATCACACACGCCAAAAAGTTACGCCAGCTTGATCTGAGCACCAACTTGTTGTTGGACTCGGGCATCTGCAAGCTGGCTCCTGCCTTAGAGAGGACCTCCTCTTTGCAGGTTTGTTCATGTTGCTCTGTTTTGTGAGTGGTTGGTGGATGTTTTAATGTGTTCTCTCCTACTAATTATTGCAGTATTTATGTTGTTTGAGTCTTTTCAGACAAATTGGGTTCGATGTTGTGCCCTTCAACTAACTCTTACTGTTTTCCTCTGCCTATGCGTTAGAAGCAGTGTGTATGTAGTTAGAGCATGAATACAATGCGTTCATGACTTTGTTACTGTTTCTATCAGCTTCGGGGCTGTTTGGGGGAATAATTACAGAAAATAAATAGATAAAGGGAAAATAATGTAAAAATTGAACTGCTTTACAAATAAACGGAGTGGCTACTCGCCCGATGTCGGGTGACTAGCATCAGGCTACTCGCCCGATCTAGGATTTCGGTGCATGTTCCGGGCGAACAAATTCGGTCGATTAGCCCCGCCTGGCCTGCGGCTTCTGGCCCTTGGGATTTCTGCGCATGTTCCGAGTTCTGGCCCGTGGGGATTTCTGCGCATGCTCCTTTAAAATTCGCGTGATCAATCACTCAGTCGGTCACCTCTTGTCCTCCAAGTCAAGAGTCGGATCAGTCAACATGGCAGCTGAATTATATGTGGGAAAAAACTTTCCAAAGTCTTAAAGACCTAAGTGAAACAATTTCAAAATTTTGCCACTTTTCACGTGAACGTTTGCAATCGCAGATTGCAGAAAAATCTCTCTCTCTCTCTCTCTCTCTCTCTCTCTCTCTCTCTCTCTCTCTCTCATTCTCCCCCCCCCTCCTCCTCCTCTCTCTTTCTCTCTCTCCCCGAAGACAAAATTTTTTGCTTTCAACTCAGTGCTAGAACGTTTGTTTACACACTCGTGTCACGCGCTAAGAAGACGAGGTAGATCTAGCGCCCAAGTCTCGTTCAGACATGAGATAGGGCAATTGAATTGAAACAGTAGTTAGACAATCTTTAATAACATCACGGCGCTGCATTTCTGACGCTAGCCACCCTAGATCGGGCGAGTAGCCTGGCGCTATAGTCACCCGACATAGGGCCTGTAGCCTGGCGCTTGTCACTCGACATCGGGCAAGTAGCCTCAGTCACCCGACATCGGGCGAGTAGCCTGGCGCTAGTCACCCAACATCGGGCGAGTAGCACCGGCCAAAAATAAACTGTTGTTAAGTACATTAACAAGGCAAGTTAGTTTTGAGTTCATTAAAACCCCCAGGGGCGGTGCCACTGACTGAAGTGTCTCTAGGCCACTCCCAAAGGGGGGGGGGGACATTTCTCGTTCATGCACGGTAGAATTGTAAATGGGCACGATTCATCAATGTCACGCTCATAACTGTGCCTGATCTACAACAGGGAACTGCTGCTTTTTCTTTCCTAATCCTTACTATTGTCATTTTCCCTCTGCTTCTTTTGTATGTTTGTCACACTCTTGTGACTCGGTATTTCCGGGGTGCCTTGAAAGTCGAAACAGACTTTGTGCTGTTGAAGCTTGAGAGGTGAGCAGAGTAAGCCTGATTCCCTGTAAAGACTTCTCTGTTGACATCCACCCCTTGGTGCTCATATGCCCTTATGCAGTTGCGAGTGCCGAACAACCTCTACTTAATATATATATATA